GTAATCACCCAAAGACATCGATCGTCATAATACGAGTTTTACACCGTTAACTGGTGACTGGAGATGAGAATGGAGATGATGAACGTATCTCGTTTCATCCAATACATAATCAAAACTGCCGGATGGCAAGCATCAAAAAATTGCAAAAACATTACATGAATTTAACACTCTTCAATCTCAGAGGCCGACAAAAAGAAATCTCTCCCGCTGCAAAACAGGCACCATTTGCAAGAGGATTCTACTGAACCATGTTATGCCACGAACCCAAAACGATCACACCCCAATTGTGCAATATATCTATATGCTACGATAATGCAGTATAGTAAGCCCAACTATGAATATTTTTGCCCCGCATCAATCATGATCGAGATTGAACTAAACTAAACTAAACACTACTTTTCTTACTTCTGAAGCTCTCCTTAAGCAATGTGAATTTCTTCTTGCACTGATTTACTGTTTTACCGGGAACAGCCGTGGCCACTCGCTCCCACCTTTGGTTAGTTTCTTTAGGGAAGGTTTTGAGGGCTTGGATCAATGCTTTTTCTTGAACTTCAGACCACACATCCACATCCGACCCAGATGATGTCCCATTCTCAGCCTCGATTTTAGCCGAACTATTTTTGCTGCTTTTCCCGTCCATAGCAGATGACTCGTGAGAATCAGCATTGCTAGTGCTGTTTGTGTTACCAGTTCGAAAGCTCTCCTTCATCAGTGCAAATTTCTTCTTGCATTGCTCCACGGTTTTCCCTTGAACTGCAGCCGCAACTAATTCCCACCTCTGGCTAGTTTCTTTCGGTATGGTTTTTAGAGACTGGACGAGAGCTTTTTCCTGAGCAGCTGACCACAAATTATCTTGATCTATACTACCATCATCAGAGCTCGAAATGTTTGCAGTTTGATGATTTGATGATGATTCGGGTAAATTGTCCGAGTCAACAGATCCATTCCCACTATGCATGCTTTTCAGATCCTCTCTAGTTGAAAGGGGAGATGCAATTGTTTGTGCTGGCTTCCTTTTCTCCAAAAAGGAGTCAAAGGCTTTGGCCGAGTCGGGCTTCTGCAGCAGGACTGTTTTTGTGCCCTTGAGAATCTCTTCCACGGACCTATTGGTGCCAATATACTCGGAAATCACCTCCCACCTTCGGGATGTCCCTTTAGGGTATTTCACCATGCCCTTCCTCAGAAGATCAATCTCCTCTTTACTCCACGGTTTTTTCTTTTTCCCGTTGCTGATGTAAGGAACTTGCCCGTGCCCGGTTACAGAACCATTCTGCTTAGAACTGTGCTCACCCTCCTTCTCGTCTTTCTGCTTGTGATCGGATTCGAGTGTCTTTCTCAGGATCTTGGCACTTTCCAGAGCTTCCTTTCCTTCCATCTCCTCACATAAGGTTTTGAGCTGCTCTTTATCAAGTGAAGAACAAAGACCCTCCACATGTTCATCCGTAAGGTCAAGCAAATGCTGGGACACGACAGAAGCCGAAAGAGCCCGGAGGTGGGCTCGCTCCTTGCGCAGCAGCTTTTTCTCCTTCTCCTTGGATTTTTTCTCAATAAGGGCGGCCTCAGCAGCCTTCTTTTTCTCCTCTTCTTTCTGCCGTCTTTCCTCCTCGGCAGCCCTAGCTGCCTCTTCCTCCTGCAATTTCTTAGCCAAAAGCTTTGCATCCTTCTTCCTCTGCTTCTCAGCTTTCTCTTCCTCTTTTCTCTTCATTATTCTCGGGTCACGCTTATAGGCGTTATCAACGAGGGTGCGTATGCGCGCGTTCTCTTCCTTCCTCGCCTTCTCCGAGAGCTTCGCATTCTGCCTCTCCATCCACCTCCTGTGATCACGCGACTCAGCCTGCTCAAGGTCAAACTCGTCAGCATGCGGGAATTCCCTCCAGCTCTTAAAGCTGTACCAGAAATTGTAAAAGCTGTCCACTTCTTTCAATGGCGTATTGTCATCCCCAAGTGTCGGGATGGGTTGGGCCACCGACCAACGTCCGTTCCTCATGAAAGCGGACCCGAAAACCTTGAAAAAATCCTGAGGCGAGCAGTCCTGAGGGATCTCGTCATCAAACTCATCAGTCGAGTCATATATTCTTCTCCTGACAGGATCTATCAGAACCTCGTACGCTTCCTGAATGGCCTTGAAACGGGTTTCTATCTCGTCTTTCTTCGCCTGCTTGGCTGACTCAGTTTCCTCAGAGAGCAAAAGGGCAGCCTGCTTGTCTGGATGGTGTCTCAGAGCAGCTTCACGGTAACTTTTTCGAATCTGGTCCTCGGTGGCTAGATACCTCAAGTGGCTCAAACCCAATAAGGCATAATGATCCTGTTCACCGCCGCTAGTTTTCTTCTTTCCTTTACTGCTGTACGAGTCGGATGATTCCACGTATACACGTTCTTTCCCGCTTGGAGCTTCCTTATCAGTATTATCATCTTCTGTATCCGCCTCCGCCGACTGGCCAACCGACCTAAGAGCAGCCGCGTGGAAAGCATGCCCAGCTGGTTCGAGATTCAGTGCCTTGACCGGAAGGCAGTTGGAGGATACATTTATTGGCTCACCATCCACAATTTCCTTAGAGTATGTAATTAGAAGCATGCTATGCCTAGATTCCGCAGCCATTACTAGACAGATAAAGAAACATACAAAGATAGATGTCTATCAGTAGATGGACAATACACAAACACAGGCAATCAAAAACAAGGAAACTGAAAGAAACACATAAAGCCATTGGACGACGACCAGTCGAATTGGAAGATGAACGCCTGGTAGGAACATATTCAAGGAAGTAACCAGCATTTTGGCCTATAAAAACAGGTTCACTTTCATGTACATCAACGAGTTACAAAATCATCAAATTACCGCGTGAAAGCCATACTTGAGCCATACAGTTAGATAAACAGATATCATTTGCGAGTTACCACTGATCATCGTTCAGATGAAAACGAAAATGGATACGAAGGCTAATCCAGGAATCCGATAAATAAATGGAGAATAAAAAATTCAGGTTTCAACAGAACACAGAGAGGAAAAAAATGATTAGAAAAATAAAAAAGGATTCATACCGATAACTCGATCGAGCGCCGCTGCAGCGGCGGCGACTAAGGTGGCGGCGTCGCGGCGGTGAGGGAGTTGCGAAGGTAGGGTTTGGTTCGTGAAGTGCAGTTTAGGGAAGAAGAGAACTTTCTTAAATCTCTTCTTCTATTTATATTAATTTCCATGCTTTTCAGTTTATTTTGCTAAATGAAATTCATTTATTTAGAGGGGAAATTTTATCTTTATTACCGACTGTAATTTAATTTATACCTCATTTTTGCTTTTGTTGTCATGCTTGTAACTTTAATTAACTATTCTTTGAGTAATATTTTGAAACTTTTTGAAATTCGAAACTTTTTAAGATTTACAAATTTAGATGGAATGTTGTGAAATCTTATGTTCGGAGGTGATATTTGAAGTAAGATTTCATTTACGTTTTTTTTTTTTTAATTTTAGTATTTCTTAATAAGTCTTAACAAATAAGGTAAACACCTTATGATTTTGTAAATTAAAAATCTCAAATAAATACATCGAGAATTTTAAAAGTCTTAATTAAGCACTCCAATATTTCTAAAGTCTATAAAAATCTAAAACGAGTACTCTTTTAGTTTCATCATTTTAAAAATTAACCACTTTCTCTCCAAAGTAGATAAAATTTGAGGCCCCATATCGTTGCCTCCGGCGGCAAATTTCAATATATTGTATGTTATTTTAAGCTACAAGATGAAATATCCAACAATATACGACAGTTTAAAACTCGCCAAAATTATTGCTAAAGGTTTTAAAAGAAGGTTACGTCCAAAACGCACTTTAAATTTTATAGAAGTAATGCCGAAAATTATTCCTTTATTTTTTGTAAAAGATATATATATGTATACAAAAATATTTTCTTGAAAAATACAATGGTATCTTTATATCATTAATCAAATCAAAGTCGTTGGAAGTCATATTTATGTAATTTTTTTCACCAAAAAAAA